GAGAGAGAGAGAGACTGTGCGTGTTAGTGCGTGTGTCCATCCATCCATCGTCATTGCATGGCCATCGATTTGTGTGTCCAATACGCGAGTACACGACATCAGCTTATTGCATGTGTGTGAGAGCGCTCACCATGGGAATTCGCTGTAGGCAGGCAGACGGGTGGGACACTCACTCGCTCGCTCATCTCAGTCGGCCGGCCAGCCTTTCTTCTATCTTTCCTCACGGCTTCAAAAAGGAAGGGTGCCTGTTAAGCATGACAGACACCACTCGGCTGACTTCTTCTTGTCCCAGGTGACGCCTGCCGGTCTCTCTGCCAAGGCGAGAGGCCATCACACGTCACCAGGTGCAGAACGAAGCCAGGCCAGTGATGTCCGACACACACCCTTTACACCTCCAAACAGAGAGCTTTGGCTGGTCGGACACAGAGAGAAATGCTGACATCGAGTGTGTGAGTGATGGCTTGTTGAGCTTCTGGTGGTGGCTCGAGGCTGTGCCTTCGTGTGTCGTGGCTCTGTCGGTCATCTTCCTCTCGTTGTCTGTCTGTGAGATGGCGAGGGGGCGATGGCCGACAGCGAGCGACACACCACGGCACACAGCTGTCGACACTGAGTGAGACGGAGAGACAGGCCGGCGATCAAGAGAGCACATCTTATCAGAGTGAGTGAGGGAGCGAGTGAGTAGCCTTCCTTTCTTCCTTCCTTCCTTCATGCCAGCCTGCCTGCCTGCCGCCCGCTGTACGTGCCTGCACGAATCACTGTGCTGTGCTCTCTGTATCCCTTCGTGAGCGAGCTAGCGGGGGAGTGACTCGTGCGTTGGTTAGCCCAAAGCAGTGCAGCAGTCCATCCATCACAGGACAGAGTCTGGAGTGACGGGTGGTGGGAGTGTGGGGGTGGAAAAGGTCATCATCGGTCATTCATTCACACGGGCCATGCCATGCCATGAGAGGGGAGCGTTTTCGATAAAAACATATCTATCCATCGCACAATCTTCATCATCATCACCTCTTACTGAATTCATGTCACTTCACTCCATTCGTGTGTGTGTGACAATGTGTGTGTATGCCATGCTAGAGTGAGCAGGGATTGCCCACCCACTGACTTGAGGTGTCCCTTGTACAATGACTGCCGCTGTCCACATCTCGAGCGAGAGAGAACGAGGGAGGGGGGGGGGGGGGGGGGGGGGGGGGGG